GAAGGCAGACGCTGAACGACTGAGCCACCCAGGCGCCCCTGATAATGATTGTTTAATAGCTGGTTCGTGGAAGGAAAATAGCCCTGATTTGTAACGTTTGCCAATTTTCATGGAGTGATTTCCATAATTACTCCCACCATGCCCAATTTCAAGCTATCAGTCTGACACTGACTAACGCACAAAATCCCTGAAAATTTAACCACAGGCTCTTGTGAACCAGCACCAACCAGCTCCAGCATACTTCTGAAGGGGTGTGACCTTGGGAGAGGTGGCTCTCCTCAGCTGAGGGCAATTCTCAGAGAGGTGTTAGCTATCATCTCCTAACACCGCCCCACCCCCAGCAGCTAGGAGAATGAGAGCTTCAGTCGTGAAGGCTGCAGCTGGGTGGTACACCACGGCACCCACTGCACGTAGTGTATGTTAAAGTATTTGCTGTGTTTCAACCAACACAAAGCACTTAATTCCATTTAACGTTCCATCTAGTGAAGTAATTTTAATATTCCTTGAAATGTAGTAAATACAATTTTATCTCTTTTGGGTAATCTTGGTCAAGTCACCTAATCTCTGTCTTTGTTGAAGATGCCAATATTGACTTGCTTGCTAAGGATCCTGGTGGATGAACTGGCCAACTAACTGAAACACCTGACTTAACTCGTTTTTCCCCCTCAGTGGACCTGTTACTGGACTAATTTGACCAAACTGATTCACGTTTAATGGTGTAACCAAATTTAAGGACTTAGATGTCTTTGGTTCTAGATTTTCCATCTAAATCCAGCTCTTTGCTTGTCAAACCTCTCTGGCACTCCATTTACCCATTATGCAATATGTAATTATGAACAAAGGAGGCTGAATTCCTTGTGTGGCTCATGAACTAGCTCCAAAGATATCCCAGAGTATTTGAAGGAAGATTTAAGGATCAGAATACATGTAAAACCTCTTAGGGCAATTATATTGAAGGAACTAATGGTCATTTGAAAACTCAAAGTTACACTGTATGTGTGTGTGCGTGCATGTGATTTAAATCATCTTCATAACTTGCTAGTTACACCTTAAAAAACTGGAAGGTATCAGCTCTAAGTCAAAGGGGCAAGTTTCTGGGGGTATTTAACCAGTGTAAAAAAATGACTTTGGAAACAGATGAAGAAATATGTAAACGCCAAAGACCAGTCATTGAACGTAGTTAAGCGTATTCAGTCCCTGAGATTAAAGGTTCCGTGTAAGCACGTATAATTAATATTTACCAATAGCAATAGGACCTTTGCCTTTCTTCAAGGAGCTCAGAATACTTGCCAGGCATTATCTAATTAAACTACTCAATGTACCTGTGAAATGCTTTGGAATCTACATTTTAAAGATGTGGGCACTGAAGCACAAGTGGGCTCAAACTAAACTCATTTAGCATGCCAAGGGCGAAATTGGATAGAAGACTTTCAGTCTCATGATCTTGCTGCCATTCTTCAACCGTGGCCTCCTCTAATCCACTCTATTCTAGCATGGCCTTGCCAAACAACATAGTTTCGTAAGTCTAGGAAGAATTAAATAGACTGCAAAGTAATTCCAATTATAGGGAAGTTAGATTTTTAAAAGTTGAACATATCACCCATAATATTATTAGCATTTAGAGGTCAGTGTGAGCTAGTGCCACTCATTGTCTACAATGGCCACGGTAAGGGTGGGAGCAGTTGTGCAAAATCTATTGGAATGTTGTTTGCAGGAGCCGGGCCGTAAGTAGCAGTGGTGGCTCTGAGAATGTCCCCCATCCTCTCCCTCTAGCCTTCTTATTCTTAGGTACTATTAATAGCTACTATTTTTTGAGCGCTATGTGCTAAGCCCATTATACGAATTGCTCCTTCAATCATCACTACCACCCCATGAAGTACATATTTATGATCTCCATTTTATAAACGAGGCAGAGAGAGGTAAAGCAATTTACCTAAGGGTATACAGCTAACAGTAATTAGTGACGTTAAGATATAAACCTGAATCTTCCAATCCCAAAGCCTGTTCATTATGCTACCTCCCATTTGCTAAATACGTTCTTGTTCCTGTCTAGCAGTAGGCTCTGCAGGCTATATACGTATCTGTGACATCCCTATGCCTAATCCAGAGTCCCTGAACATACCTCAGCCTTAGCTCAGGGTTTCAACATCTTGATCATCTTAGAGGCATAAGATAAAAATCGTTTACCAGTTGGTTATAACACATTTATTTATTTCTCCCTCTGTGGTTTTTGGAATTCTATTTTTCTAACATATTACCGCCATAACCTCCCTGCTTTGTTGGTTTCAGTAATCATCATGTGTATGCATTCGGCCTTGATTGGGGGAGAAACTCAGACGCATCTCTTGGAATGGGCTCATGATCTGAAAATGGCTGATGGAACCTATGTCTTTGTTCCCTATGATGCCCTGCTCTACAGTTTACCTTATAAGCATACCCCCTACCAGGTCCTGAGGAACAACCCAAAACTCCGGGAAGCCTACGATGCTGTGTTGACCATTACAATGGAGTCCCAAGAAAAGACCTTCTATCAAGCCTATACTGAGGCAGCAGCTAGCCATGAAATTCCTGAGACGCTGGAGTCAGATCAAGTAAGTGCAGATTTACAAGTTATCATAAGCAGAGGCCCTCAAACATCAGGAAGGTCAATACTGTTCCTATGAAAAGCCTCTATTCTACAGGCAGCCCAATCAAGAGCAGGCAACCACGCACAAATTAAGAACACCTTTTGTTTGCAGAAAACATTTCTAAAACAAAGACACATCGTTGAAGCATTTTTTTATTGTCAAGCCACCCACAATGACAGCATGCAGCCATGAAGAATAAATAAAAATATATTTAAGAACAGGAGAACAAAGCTTTTATATATATTAGTGCTGTTCAAGGGAGCTAGAGAAGTCTTATTTCTGACCCAAGTTCAGCTGGTTTGAATAGTTCTAAATCTATTCAAAATAAAAGAGAGCTGATATATGAGACCATATTAACTTTATCATTGATAAAACTGGTATTAGAGAATGCGGCTTCTGTTTGTAGGCATTCGAGCTTCCCAGTACTGAATCTGAGGATTACCCAGACTTCTCCACCTAGTCAACAGCATTGCAGGACCACCATATTCTGGCACCACAAAGGCATGCCTTTTGTAAAATGTACAGCCCGGAGGAGCATAGTGGGTGTGGGCTTCCTATAGGTAGCTGGCTCCCAAGAGAAAGAAGTTAGGAGGGACTGGGCCACACATCTTTAGTTCTCCTTCCAAATTAACCAGTAAGGTAAGTCACTCCTCCTTTGTGGGAAGGAATGAGTAAGGGGACGAAGAGAGGTCAGGTGTGTTTTTGCTAATAGAGCTATCTCGGTATGAAAGGAATCATTTGGAATGGGGAAGAATTCCTCCCTTCTAATATGCGAGACATGATATTTACATGTGTATAAATGAATATATGTATAAACATATTTCAGATTCAAATCACAAACACTTAAGGGCTGGAGAAAGGTAAAGGAGTAGGGAGGGGAAGAAAGCAGAGAAAGACAAAAACAAAGAGGAAACATCCAAAAAAGACAAGGAATATGGGAAGAAGGTGGTGAGGCCGAAAATACCAGTTAGATTCGAAAAAATACAGAGGGGGTTTTTATAGGTTGGAGGCTAGATGTAGAAGAAGGCAGTCATTTTTAGAAGTATTTAGAATAACACGTAAGTAGGATTAAAAGTTCTAGCATTTGCTAGCATAGTGTATTAGTTATAATGCTTCTGGCTGTAAGTAATAGACTGTTCAACACAAAATGGCCCAAGTGATTTTTCTTTTCAAAATTTGAAGGTATGGGTGTTCAAGGGGCAGTTAATTCATCAGCTCAATGATGTTATCAATGAACCAGGTTCGACTCATCGTTCCACTTTACAAGCCATAGCATGCTGTCTTGCCATCATGATTTGGTTGGTCTTATGGTCCCATGATGGCTGCCACAGTTCCAGACATCACATATTATAGGTGGAATGGTCTCCAGATAAAAATGGGGAATGACTTTCTCTTGTGCCTCTTTTTAAGAGTGAGGAAATCTTTCCCAGAAGCTCCTCAAGCAGACTTCTCTCCATACTTTCCTGATCACATTCATGTCTCATATGCATACCTAAATCAATACTTTAGAAAGAGGAACAAGACCATCATGATCAACCCTATGGCTGTTGGAAAAATGTGAACAGAATTGAAATTCTGTTAGCAGGGAAGAAGGCTGTCAGGTAGGCAGCTGATAATGTCTAACACTCAACGTTCTCCATGATATTCTCCTTTATATCCACCCTTTATTTCTTTATCCTGTGGACTGCTTCTGCCTCTGAACAAATGATTCAGATAAGACTTAGGTTTAGTTTAAGTATGGATAACAAAGATTTTGCTGATTCTTGTTCTAATAAAAAAGTGACTAGCAGAGATATTAACAGGGCAGATTTTGAACTTGATTGCTACTGAGATGTTTATAATAAATCTTTCTTTTGGGAGACACACACATGTTTAAAAACAAATGGTCAGTTTGGTCAAGAATTGCAAGAATCCCTCAAACTGCTAAGAATTGTTGCTCAAACCAGTTGTTTGGTATATTTATAGGCAAGCAAAGAGATGGTGAATTTTTGTACTTTTTAGCCAATGATATGGCACCACATCAATACAGACTAAGTCTTTTTACTTTAATCACGAAATTGAGGGAAGGAGAAAGATGTGTGTGTTTCTGTATTGTAAATCATACATACATATGAACAGATATTTTGATACAAAAAACTCAGATCTTCTACTCTTAATATTTGATCCAATCTCTTTGTGCTTGTGGAAAACATAAGGTAATTAAGGCAAGGAAAAAAAAAGACACCTTTATCTTGGTTGCTAGGCAGCCTGCACTCTGCTTTAGACAAGAAAATAGAGCTAAAACAAAGAATCTAGATCTTATAAAACAGCTTATTTGGATGCATTTCCACCCCCACTTTGCAGGTGCCTAAGGTATACCCTCATAACCAAAGATTGAGAGAAGGATGAGACAGTTATCTTCAGATTTCTGATAAACAAAACCCCCTTTTACCTAAAAATTAGTTTGCTAAATTTTTGAAGGCAGCTGGTATAGCAGAAAGAGCATATGATAAAGAGTTAGCCACACTTGGGTTGAAATCCCAGGGTTCCACTCTTACTAGCTGTGTGTCCTTGGGCAAATTACTTACACTTTTTTTTTTTTTAAAGATTTTATTTATTTATTTGAGACAGAGAGAATGAGAGACAGAGAGCATGAGAGGGAGGAGGGTCAGAGGGAGAA